CATGGAAGTGAATCTTACTTGAATAGAAGAAAAGTCTAAATCTGTAATCCAGTATTTACTTCTGTTGATTGGCTGTTTTCATTCACAGGATTCAATCTTGGATATTAAAGTACCTTTATTCACACGGCCTGGAGAATTGCCAGAAATAAGGTCATACATGGAAGAATTTCCCTTTCCTTTCTACATAATTCTCAGAGATGTGAATGCCCTGCCAGAGACTCTCAGTGATGCCCTTAGGCAGTGGTTTGAACTGGTGACTGCTTCAGACAGTTGGTAGACTGCGCCAAGTCTAAAAAGTTCATTGAAGTATATAAGCTAATTGTTCACAGGGGCCAGAAATCCAAGACCTCAAACTTGCATTTTCCCTTCTCAGTGCAGGAGACTATGCAGTCCATGATGAACTCAGACACCCTCTCTAGTTTCCTTGCCAATATTGGGAAACAGTGAAAAAACATATATATTTTTTTTCTTTTTGTTGTACTTTGAGTAACTTATTCTAGGATACATTTGATATCCTCATCATTAGGAAATAGGCAGGCTTGCTGAGTAGTAAGAAGCAAGTTTTGTTTCCGAAAGAGGAAGTAGAACTCGAACTGTTGAACTATAATAAAAAAAAATAGTTTGCTTTTAAGTCACCTGCGTGAGTGGATCCTGTGTTGAGGAGATTGGGGGGGGGGTTAAATTTTACACAGCCTAATAATAATAATAATCTCCTTGGATACTTGAAATTGCTCAATATTGCTGAACGGTTGCTGGTTGTCTGATAATGCAAGGATATTTTTGTTACATTAAAGACTGCATTGTCATTTTACACTGTGATGTCTGTCCAAGGCAATTACTAGGATACATTTGCAAGGGACTTTTTCTCCCCAACCCGTTTTCATGGCAAAAACTATGCATTGTGATTTTTAATAAAGCCATCCCTTTGTTTGTAATTATGGTGTCCATTGTTTGAAGAAATTAATCAGGTCTGAAATAATCTAAATATGGATTATTCCAAGATTGAGAACAAAAGTAAACTCTGACACTGTCTTGAACTTGTCCATTCTTGTATGTAAACCAAAGATGGTTGTAATTATTGCTCCACTGTTTCATGGAGTCCAGATGTGTCTGATACTGCTAATGCAGGGAAAGTTAGCAATTAAACCGGAAGGATTGTAAATGGAAGTTGGAGGAAATATTATTTCTCGTACAGATGCAATAATCATAAATTACAAAGAGGATCATAAATTACAAAGGGGATATAAAAAGTACTTGGAAAACAACATCTGTCTGATATCTACCTCCCCAGGCCAACATTGAACTGAAAGCCACGCGACGCTGCATGCATTAGAACTTAACATTGCAAAGTATTGACAGTTTATGTGGTGCAGAATTTAAAGTACTTTGTTAGACCCAGTTTGGTGTAGCGGTTAAGATATTAGGTTAAAAACTGGGAGATCATGAGTACTAGTCCTGCCTTGGGCACAAAGTCAGCGTGTAACTTTGGGCTAGTCACTTTCTCTCGGCCCTAGGAAGGAGGCAATGGCTAACCACTTCTGAAAAACTTTGGCAAGAAAACTGCAGGGATTTGTCCAGGCAGTCTCTGAAAATCAGACTCAGTTTAACAGAAGGAAGAGAAACCCCTTTATATCAGTGGTGGTTCACCTATGGCACAGGTGCCAGAGGCGGCACTCAGAGCCCTCTCTATGGGCATGCGCGCTATCGCCCCTGTCCTAGGACTTCAGCTGGGTTTTATAAAACCTTTTCGCTTTTGGCCTCCGCCACTGTGTACAAAAAATAAAAAAGGTTCAATCAGTCAATTTCAACTTCTCGTGGAGGGAAAAAAAAGATCTTGCAAAGTTGGAATTGATTGATTGATTGAACTTTTTAGTCCCACCCAGTCTGCTGTTACCAGTGTAGCCACGGCCACTCAATGGGCCACACCCCCCGGCATCAAACGATGCATAAACCAAAGCTTTCTTAAATTACTTTAACATGAAGTTACTTAAAACAACTTTGCTATAGTTTTATGTAAGGTTAGATCTTGATAATTGGGACACAGAATAAATCAAATCATGAAGATTGTTAAGGTATGTTTACCATCATAACACTCTTCCATTTTCTAAACTCACAAAGATGTTCTATAGGATAAAAGAACTGCATTATTCCACTGGTGAAGTACCTGTTAATATTTTTCTGCTAAAAATTATATTCTGTAAAGCTTAGGAATTTCTTGCTATGGATGAGTTTGGTCCTATGTAGATCCATTTTTGGGGGGAGAATATACAGGATGTGATTTATGTCAGAGTATTGTGATCTTTACTAACAGCATAAAATGGCTGTACAAAATACAGCTCAAGACCGTCAAGCTTAAAGGAAGAATAGATTACATTTGACAAAATCTGACAGCTCAAGATAACTTCTTGCACTGTTTATTTCCTGGTCTCTCCCTTTTGACTATTTTAGATTTAAAAAAAAAAGTAATCACCTTATGTTAAAAATAGGCATCTAGTTTTTTTTTAAATTTGTATTTTATTAAAAATATTCAGATAGAACAAAGGAAAGTGATATTGATTGCTGGCGTTTGTGATAGTGGCGAATGAGGAAAGCCTTTTATTTTCTTGTGCAGTAAATTTTCTTGGCAGTTGTGCATGCCATTTTTCTTGACCATGACTTGGTATTAACAGAACCCTGAATTTTCCACTTTTTGATCAGAGTTTGAACAGCATTGATAGGCATTTTCAAATCTTTGAGTACCTTTTTACATCCTTTCTTGGATGTATAAACTTGGAACTATTTTTTTGCTTGCCGGATCCTTTGTCAGTTCTTTTGTTTTCCCCATGCTTCAGTAACCAGCAAAGTCAGTATAACATTTCTCAAGAGTTAAGAAACTCACTATTTATACACAAACTTGAAGTACAACCAAAGAAGACACAGGTGTGAATACTTAGCTTTATTGCTATCTCAACATGTATATGTCAACTTTAGATTTAGATGTATTGTCAGCCCAAACATTCAGGGGTATGCAAACTTGAATGGAACCATTTTATTATTTCTTCTATTACTACGGTTAACTTAATGATCGTCTTATTCTGTGATACCTAGTAGCTTAATTTAAATCACATAAATAAAAAAAGTGCTTTATATGATCACTCGTGTACTTTACTTACAAAATGGTCCACATCTTAAAATTCTGCAAGGGGTATGTAAGCACAATTGTATATGGTTGTAATAAAGATTTTACAAATTTTAAATATAAAAGTATATTTTAGTGAAATCATCCATGAATATAATCTGTATACGTAACATGTCAAGTAACACCAGATCTTCAGTTCCCAGAGTCATATCAGCATTGAATCCCTAGACTTATACGAAAAGCCCATAGAATCAATTTATTTTAGCTATCAATTTCCATTTATTAGATATATTTGAAGAATTAAGGATTTGTCTCCAAATCAAATTAATGCATGTATGTATTTGATAAGACAATACAAAAAAATTAATATTATTATTGCATTTCCACACAGTTCTTGTCATTTTATTTATTTATTCATTCATGCATCACGTTTAAAAATTGTCCAGGACCCTCTTGGAGCTATTCTGGATAGTGCACATATACTGGGGGTATATGTGACAGATCTTGAGTTGTATTAACAATTCTGCAAATATAAGTTTAAAATATAACAGTACAAAATCAAATCCATAAATTTGTATAGTTAATGTGCCAACTCTTAAACTGAATCTCAGCCGCAAGGCAATTTGCAGACCATCCACCACAAACATTGTGTTGTAACAGCAAATTTTATCGTAGTTTAATTTTAAAGTTAAATAATTAAAGCATAGAGAATTCATAGAAGAGCAACAAAGAGGACTGGAGGCTAAAACATACGAAGAACAGTTGCAGAAATTGGGTATGTCTAGTTTAATGAAAAGAAGGACTAGGGGTGATATGATAGTGTTCCAATATCAAAGGGCTGCCACAAAGGGGGGGTCAACCTACATTTTGAAGCACCTGAAGGCCGGACAAGAAGCAATGGATGGAAACTAATCAAGGAGAGGAGCAACCCAGAATTAAGGAGAAAATTCCTGTCAAAACAATCTGGAAGAGCTTGCCTTCGGAGTCGGTACTCCATCATTGGAAGTTTTTAATAAAATATTGGCAACCATTTGTCTGACATGGTAGGCTTTCCTTCTTGAACAGGGGGCTGGACTAGAAGACCTCCAACTCTGGACTAGAAAGTCCCTTCCAGCTCTAAGCAACTTTTCTTGGTTTACCATGATAGAACATTCGGGTTAATTATTCAAAAGATTGCATAAGTCAGGGGTGCTCAACTTGGCAGCTTTAAGACTTGTGGACTTCAACTCCCAGAATTGCTGGCTGAGGAATTCTGGAAATTGAAGTCCACAAGTCTTAAAAGTTGCCAGTTTCAACAACTCTCCATAAAAGGATTCTTGGTTTATAAAGGCACGTTTAAGGCTTAGCTTTGTTGAGCATTTTTCAATGTAGGCGATTATGTAAAAAACGACCATGCCGCCCTGGAAGAACAATCTGCTCTGCAGCCCTCGATTGCCCATGTGCCAATTATAACCAGAAAATCTAATTGCAATATTGATAAAAGACTTGAGTAATAGCGTCAAACTGCACTTCTGGTTACATTCTGGGTGCTTTTTAGTTATGATTGTCAATTGTTATTCTAGAAATACTAGTGTGTGTATGGGAGGGGGTGTCCTTACGCTTTCCTTTGGTTCATAACTGAAGCGTTCAGCCTCCTTGAGGAAGAAAGCGCGGCGCGCAGCTCCCGATGTGCTTTAACGATACGTTTCCTAAACAAGTGTCTTTCTTTTCACCTTCCATCCGGAGACCTGCCACTCGAGCTTGCTAAGTGACGGAAGGGGGAGTTACCTCCGAAGTCCCTCGCCCAGGGGTAGGCAACCTCGGTTCTTTTATGACTCATGGACTTCAACTCCTAGAATTCCTGAGTGAGCTATGCTGACTTAGGAATTCTGGGAGTTGAAGTCCATGAGTCATAAAAGAGCCGAGGTTGCCTACCCCTGCCCTCGCCTGCAGGCTCTCTTTCCTGGCAAGCGGCTGCCGGGCCCCCAAGCGGGCGGGATCAAGCGTGGCGCTAAAGAGTCCCCTCTAGTCCAAAAGGGCCGAAAGGCGGGAGCTGAGCCATGGCGGCCTCCCGGTTACCCCCGACGGCCTTAAGTCTGAAGCAGGTAGGAAGGGATCGCGCCAGGGGGCGGCAGCTCGGCCTCCTCTCGGTCTTTGCAGCCGCCTCGCTCCTGAGCAGCTGCCGAAGCGGCCCCTCTTGTCTTTGGGCGCCTCGTAAACGGCGCTGGCAGGAGCCTGGGCGAGCCTGACGGTACAAAGTGCTTTGCTGCAATCTGAAAAGGAGGCTCCGGGCCTGGAAACCGCCAATCGGAAGGAGGTCTGGCGGTGGAAAGAGGCTCCTTGAACGCTGGGGCAGCCTCCCGGCAAGCGCCCTGCTTCTGGCTGGATACTTGATTCGGGCCATCGCTCGGCACCCCGGCATTTAGTTGCAGATCGGTTGTCTGCTCGCTCCCCAGTCGCGTTAGCAGAGCCTTCTACTGATGAAGTCTCTTCCTTTTCGAAAACTCTTTCTTATATTTACAGAATCTGTGGGCTGCTGCTTTGTTTGGAATGTATGTACAGGTAGTCCTCGACTTACGACCACAACTGAGCCCAAAGGTCCTGTTGCTAAGTGAGACCGTTAAGTGAATTTTGTACCCATTTCATGACCTTTCTGGCCACAAGTTGTTAAGTGAATCCCTGCAGCTGTCAACACAGCTGATAAGCGAGTTTGACTTTGCTGGTAAGGAGGTCAGAAATGGTGATCAGGACACTGCAAGTGTCGTAAATGTGAGTCAATTGTCAAGCATCTGAATTTGGATCACACGACCACGGGGATGCTGCCAACAGTTGTAAGTGTGAAAAACTGTCGTAAGTCACTTTTTTTTCAATTTCCAGTTATTATAACTTTGAGCAGTCCCTAAATGAACTGTTTGTAAGTCGAGGACTATGCTGTAACACTGTCGTGTAGGGATATTTTTTTCCTAGCAAAAGAGCCTGTTACTTTACATTAATTGCTTTACTGATTCTCACTTCAGTAGATAATTCCTGGGAAGCATCTGCATGCTGCATGCAGAGCAAGCTTCCAAGAAGAATTTTTTTTAAAGAAGAATTCTGGAAAAGCAAAATTAAAACTTTGGGGGGGGGAGTGAAATATGGTCATGTATGGTGAACTGCATTTGGCTAAGTTACACAGAAGGGCAAAGTAACCGCAAAAGCCTTTGTATGTGTACACACACACACATACACGAAATTACAAGTAATGTCACTGCTATTATGTACTTTGTTAGTATTTCATATTTCTGTAGGATTTATATGGACATGAACTTGAGACTTTATGTTTTGGGAACAGGTGCAATTTTGGATGTTGCCATTGACAATTAATGGATATCACAAAAGTTTTCTCTATGATTTAGGGGAGAACCAAACACAAATTGAGGAAGATTAAACTATCTTTCATATTGGAAATTAGCTTTTGGGGCGGGTGGAGGACAAAGGACTTTATCTTCATCTGTCTATGTCCACCGCATGAACATGCACCAGTAAAAGTGATTTTCCTCTCCTCAGCCTACAACTTAGTCATCTTTAGCTATGCCAGTTTTAAGGGATGTTTTCCCTCTTTCCCCCAGCACAGTTTTTGGTGTTTGGACAATTCAGACCCCAGGATGATGAGCAGCTATGGAGTCTGTCAGCTCCTATTGGCCATGTTAGGCTAGTGCAAGCATGAACCTTCCTATGTGATCACGGGGCATGGTTCTCTATGGCTATTTTGGCCTGGCCTCAGGAGAGCCTGGACACAGGGTGGGCAGAATACAGACAGAAAAGTCAAGTTGTAGTCATGATGGTGCACTTAAAACTCCCTCTGATGAAACTTGTGAAGACTGACAGTAGCCCCTGGTATGGATCTCCATACAACCTTGGCCCATTCAGATGGACAAATCAGGCAGATGCACTGAACTTTCAAATAGATAAATTGACGTAGAATTAAGAAAAGTGATAGTATGGAAGTAAAATATCTAGAGCATCAATGTTTAATTTAATTTAATTTAATTTTAAAGAGGGCAGGCATGTGTTAATTTGATAGTTGAGGGAAACAGGCAGGTTTGTGTTAATAGTTTTGCTGATCCTTTCAAGCACATGATCCTCAAGGCTTTTTGAAAGTGAATTAGCTGGGTTCGTTTTTGGTTGAAAGAGTAGATGAGAAGACCTTGGACTTGTGACAAAAAGTGAGACAGCCATTCTTTGTTTCCTTTGATAGTTCCTGAGAAGACAACAGGTTCTTCAGTTATACAGGAAAATCCTCAGGACCATTCGTCAGATCCCCAATGAAGCCGATCGTCGGTATATGAGAGACTGGGCAAGGGAAGATTTCAAAAGGAATAAAGAGGCTACAGATGAGGCAAGACAGTTCTCAAAATCTGATGGGCCTGAACATTATAGCTGGTAGATGGGCCTGCTGCCTTCTGGCAGGTTTCCATATAGCTTGCTTAGAACATTAGACAGGGATTGGAAAATGTATTATGGGTGCTATGCAGTTGCTTCCTTGTGGATCACTTTGGAATATTAATTCCCCTTAAAACAGTGGTTCTCAACCTTTTTAATGCCGCGACCCAAACCAGTCGTAAGTCGAGGTCTACCCAACCGGTCGTAAGTCGAGGACTACCCAACTGGTCATAAGTCGAGGACTTTCCCTGCCTGGGAGCGCTGCGCATGCGTGGTGCCGCCCCCTGCGCCGGCCAAGGTGTAGCTGGCAAGCGGCAGAGACGGCGCAGGCCGACCACTGGCTGGGCCACCAGCTGGCCCAGCCCAAGGGAGGTAAGGCACCCGCCGGGCCCCACGTGCGCCAGCAACCCTCCCTGTGCCCGCCAGTCTCCCACCCCTGGCCCTCTTTTACTTACATTTTTAGTAGTTGCTCAGCAGGGAGGGGTAGAAACTTCCAGACAGCTCGCCTTCGCTGCAGACAACTTGCAGCACCGTTTGCAGAATGGGACTTTTGGCGGGCTCAGCAGGGCAGAGACAGCCTGGACAATTCCTTTTGGCTTTTGAAAGCCAATATAATTAGACTCTATTCAAGAGAGTCTATTCTATTGGCTTTCAAAAGCCAATAGAATAAAAGGGAGTAGCACAGCTAAGGAAAAGGGGGAAAAAATGGTGGACTGCGTTGTTTGGCGACACCCATGAAATGGTCGTTCGACCCCAAATGGGGTCGCAACCCACAGGTTGAGAACCGCTTCATTAAAAGAAGAACTTCCAAAGCTGGTTATGGTAAAGACAAAGTGATTTAATATTTACCTTTTTTTCTGAGTTTCCAAGAGCCAGTATTTGAAGCCTACTGAAATGGCATATACTTTGAATTTAAGAATTCTGAGTCCAGGTTTGACAAATATATTTGTTTAAATTACCTTGCCTACTAAGTATGACATTTCTTCTTTTACAGGATACAGTTAAGATGATGATCACTCAAGGCAACCTACAGCTTCAGGAGCTTGAGAGAACACTAAAATTGGCAAAATCCTAGGCTTAATTCTGCTTACAAATCAAAGCAATTTTTCATTGCAGCTAATTTTGCAAGGACATTAAATGGGAGGAGTCGTGCTGAGAATCCAAAGATGTCCTGTGTACACTTCCCAAAAGTCAAGACGGAAGACCTGCTGAATACTCTTTATCATGGTAGAAATGCTATAAGCCTGAAGGTTAAGGTGGAATAGGAATAAAACAAGCAATAGCAGTAACATCTGGACAATGTGAAAAATGCAAAAGTAGATAAAAGGAATTTGATACCTTATATTTAGGAACTGCACTTGTAAATACAAGAATACCATGAAGCTGTGGAACAATTTACTCTTAAATGTGCTCTTTACCTAGAGAATTCTTCAAGGGAAAGAACTGAATCTTTACCAGTTCTACACAAAGCTTTGAAGGGATGGTTTAACGAGATACAATATGCCTTCCAATTGACTCATTGAACTGGATCTCCAAGGTAATTAAGGTACTTCAGAATAGCTTCAGTCAAATCTGAAGGGGGTTCTATGGACTTCTGGTACTTTCTGGCTTCATTGTTGCATTTTTTTTCTTCTAAAAACAGACAGAATTGAGGGATAATGGAGTGTTTTCTTATATTGACATGAATAATTGATCAGAGTCTACCGTATGTACATTTATTTGCAACCATAGGTTTTAGCAAAATAGCCAGTGAATTTTATCTCTTTCTAGAACGTCATGTTCATGCTTATGGAAGTACTTCCATGTACTTGGATGGACAAGTATAGAATGAATTAGATGTTGTTATATATCTCTGGCTCTTCTGTTAGAATTTGTTTAGGCAAGTTTTCTTATAAAGAGAAACATAAGTCCAGTTTTGTACTCCTTTTTATCTTTGCTCTATATTCTCCAAATCCTGTCTAGCTGCAGATGTTTGGTCTGAACCAAACATGCTTGCTATTAAGCAATATATATGGCAAGATTCTGTCAGGGAATTACTGATTGAGTTGAGCTGTAAAACTTTCATTAGAATTGCAGTTTAGAAGCAGCAGGGCAGTGTTGTAGAGTTATAAAGCAACACTCAGGTTTACAATATGCAGTCTGGCCTCATTTTCAAGAGGTGCAGTGCAGGTGATAATTCAGTCCAGTCCAGTCAAGAAATCATAAAAAGACAGGATATTGACAGTGGTATTAGCAGAATTATTGCAGCAAGGCTAAGCCTTTTGAGTTGCCTTAAATATATCATGTATAATACAAAGCATTCTTTATTTATTCTGAAGTTCTGCAACCTTAGATTTCAATGCCACAAAGCATCAGCTCCACTCATTACTCTTCCCTGAAAGGTGACTACAGTACTATTTTGACAGATTATACATAAATATCTGGTTTTCTGCATCCTTGAGGGCTGGGAGACTGCTTTTACTTCCAGATTCAAGTCTTGGCATTAGAATCAGGACTGGTTTTCTTCTATTTTGATCACATACCTTCTAATTCCTGAATCAAAATGTATTGCAATAACTTAAAGGAATGACATTATTTTGCGCCACCATTTAATATTAGTAATGTTCTTCCTAGTCTTACCAGAATATTCTATAAATAAGAAGAGTGAAAATACTCTGGAAAGAACCTTTTGTTCCAGGATTATTATAAATAGTTCTACTGGCACGAAATACTGAGGTACGTATTCCACTTAGCAATTATTTGTTTCAGGAAGCATAAAAGCTCAAAAAAGAGCCAGGTTGGTGTAGTGGTCTAGAAATCAGGAGACCGTGAGTTCTAATCCCACCTTAGGCTGGGAAACTAACTAGGTGACTTTGGGCCAATTAGTCTGTCTCAGCCCAACCCACCACACAGGATTGTTGTAGGGAAAATAGGAGAAGAAAATAGTATTATGCGTGTTTACCACCTTGAGTTATAAAATAATAAAGGTTGGATAAAAATCTAACAAATAAAAGGTGGCTGGTAGTGGGTGTGTAGAAAATCAATCTTAACATCTGGAGCGACCAGGATCTTGTTGAGCCCCTATGGTAAGAATCTAGCCCATAGCACCCTGTCTGCTATCCAGGGTGATCAATGTAAGGGATAGTTTCATAATACAACTTAAATAAGAGCCAATAAATATTAACAGAATTGTAGATTGATGTAAGCAACACAAGAAGAAATGTAGGAGCAAGTGAGGGCAGACTATGATGGTTGCATCTCTACAATCAAGTGTGTGTGTGTGTGTGTGTGTGTGTGTGTGTGTGTGTGTGTGTGTGTGTATGTATATGAAATAAATAATGGTGATCACTAGGATAAAATCATAAACAAAAATGTTTAATCTACAAAACCAAGCTTTCGTTGGTCACACTACCGACATCGTCAGAGTATAAAATGCTGGATCCGGGAGTCCGTTTTTTATATGGCTGGCTGCCTCTGCACTCTGACCCTGGATCGGGACATTGGTCCACTCATTAGCATTGGCTGTGTAGTTCTTAAAGTGGCCATTTCTAAAGTTATCCTCCCCTCTCCAATTGCTGTTGTTTTCTTTGTGCGGGTGCGGGTGCCTGGAGATCTGTTGTTCATCCGCTCCCAGTCGTCTGTCCCCACCCCATTTGTCTTAGCTTGCCTCTGTATTGCTGCGCTGTCTCGCGTGCGTGCTTCAAGCTCCGTTCTTCTATTTGCCAGCCCTGCCGCCTTCCTTGCCCGTGTGTAAACTCCTGGGGGTTGGTCATCTCGTTGTTCCTGTTTCTTATCCACCCCCTTCTCTCTCGCACTAACGGGTGAGCTCCTGTGTGTGCTAATGGGTTGCTAACTGGGCGTGTCATTTGGAATTGCTCCACTACTTGTTACTCTCATTACCCCCTCGGTACATATATGGGAGCGCAGGAGATAACCATCCCATTTGCTCTCGCTGTTACTTGCCTGTTCTCCCGTTGATTGGGGCCATGCTTCTATTGCCGAGTCATTCGCGGGGCATGCCTCCGGTGCATTTCCTCCATTCTCAAGTTCTATTGCCCCCCCCCCGCATCTATAATCATCGAGGGGGGGGTGTCCAGGTGCTTTTTTTTGCCCCACATTTGCTACCTTCCTCGTTAGCGGGTGCGCTCGTCTGTCTGGCCAGGTGTCATCAACGGGGTATATTGGAGTTTTTTCCTTCTCCCCGGTGTGTATGTACTACTCGGCAATAGACTTTGTATATCTCCAACATACAAAGTCAATGGGGAAAGCTGGATTCACTTAACAATTGCACAATTCACTTAACAACCATGGCAAAAAAAGGTTGTAAAATTCACTTAACAGCAACTTGCTTAGCAACAGTAATTGTGGTCCCAGTCGTGGTCATAAGTTTAGGATGACCTGTATCCAACCCAATTAACATCATTCTTGACTGCACATCAATCAGCTTTTTAGCATGAGAAGAGGCATGCAAACCCTATTTTCAATTCCTTGCGCCGTCTGAGTACAGCAAGTCTCCCTAGTGCAGAGGTAGGGAACCTTGGCTCTTTTATGACTTGTTGGACTTCAATACCCAGAATTCCTGAGTCAGCATGGCTGGTTCAGGAATTCTGGGTATTGAAGTCCACAAGTCATAAAAGAGCCAAGGTTGCCTACCTCTGTCCTAGTTCACACTGCAACTGAATGGTCTAGTCATCGTGATCCCCCGGGAAGCTCCAGAGTGTGAAATAAATATCCATACATAAAGTTGTTAGGGCTGGGAGTACTTGTAAGGTATAGAACAGGGGTCTTCAAACTTGGCCCTTTTATGTCTTGTGGACTTCAACTCCCAGAATTCCTCAGCCAGCGGGCATGGCTGAGGACTTCGGGGAGTTGAAGTCCACAACTCATAAAAGAGCCAAGTTTGAAGACCCTTGGTATAGAAGGAAATAGTCTTTCTGATGTTGGCCACTGTTTGCAGTTTTCAAAATTCAACTCAGTTGTTAGGGTTAAGATATTGGGTAAGAAAGTAAGGAGTCCTAGGTTCTAGTGCACCATCAGCCATGGAAGCCCAGTGGATGATTTTAACCCCATTGCTCTCAACTCAGCCACCTTCACAGGGTTATTACTAGTATCACTCTTATACTGTGCCCATTGTACACATATCAAGTCTTCAGATAACCAGTGCCCCAAAACACATCTAGTGTTTAGATACAAGCTCACACTAAATAAAAATACTATACTCAATACTATAAAAATGCTCTAACTTAAAAAAATGTTTAATATGTAATAAAAGAGTTTATTATAAAATAATCAAACCTTAAAGAATTCACAAAATGGCACACAGACTGAAAAACAAGAATAGACATTCACTCACTCCCAGCAGTGTATCTGAGGGGCACCAATAAGTAACAAACACATTCTACCCAGAATTAGTATCACAACTAGCACTACTTAGAACTAAAACAACATTTTGCCTATCAACAAAGTATTGGCTTAGGAAAACTGGTTTCCTCAAATAATTTCATGGATACTGTCTCATCTTTAAAGGCATAACTTCAGTATGAGTGAAATAGCTCATAAGTATTCCCTGCCCTCATATTGTTTGTGAAAACAGCAATGTGTCCTTTTTTCTTTGAGCCATGCAAAGGCTAGTTTTCCTTCTGGACTTTAGTCCTTAGCTTCTGCAGTTCCTCTTCTAAACTTTTAATGTGTTCTTTAAGGACAGTTTTATCTTCCTGAGCTTTCTCGTCAGCTTGGCAACGAGCTTCTTCTATCTTTCTCTCGTACCACTTCTCCATCTGATTTGACACAGCCTCAAAGAAGTACTGAGTAATTTCCAAAGCTTGAGAGGCGCCCGCCAGCTGAGGGCTGCACTCCTTTCCTTCACAGGCAGAAGGTGGGTGCTGCACAGATGGAGCTTCTACTGGCTGGTGGGTCCTGTGCTTCAACTGACCGCTTTTACTTGGCTTCTTCGTTTGAGTCCCTTTGTCTACCAAGCAGCCACTCTGCGATTCTGCCTTTGTACATTCAGGAGAGGCCTGCAAAACAGTTTGTCCTTTTACATGCCTTAGTTTGGAAACTGAATGTTCCACTGCTGGCAGTTCTTGCTGCAATCTGTTGAAACCTGCTTTATCCTTTGGCCTAACCACTTGAGGAGACGCTGCAGAAGGAGGCGGGACAGCACCACCCACTAACTGTTGCTCTGTTCCTGTAAGCAGAAAGAGAACAAATAATTATAAGTGCTTGAAGTTTTGGGAAGCTTGAGAAAAGCCCAGGTCAAACAAGAGGATGAGAATCATAGCCTCAATGCAGGATGGCAATGGGATAAACTCAAAAGTTCCTTAATGCAGTTTTTGGTCCAAGGTTATTCTAATTCCCTATGTCTTATTAAAAGCAATTGGAATAATGATCGAAATCTCTTTTGAGATCTGTATATTTGTAACAAATGAGATCTTCGGAGACCGGTGACATGTTTAATTGCTTGCTTGCTTGTTTGCTTGCTTGAACATTTATGCACGCAATTTATAGGCTGCTTGAAGCCCAATGACACTGAGCAGCTTATAATGTTCAAGAAATTAGCACTTGCAACACTAGAATTGCAGAATGATGACCGCTGCTTGAAATTACTGTGGACTCCTGCTCTAACAGTAACACAGTTTTTCTTCTATGGTGATGAAGGAAGTTTTAATTGTACAGGTTGAGAAGCAAGATGCCTAGTATCAAAAAGAAAAATAGTGAAATTTAGATTGACACCCCAGGTTTCAATGCAGCAGATTAGCATAGATATCCAACTGAAAAATGGCTAAAATAAGAAAACAAAAATACCTGAGGGGCTATCTTGCTGAACCACAAAATACTTTTTTCCAAAGCTTTGCTCTGTGACTGGCATGCCACTCCGTTCCGTATCTTCTGAGAGGCTCAGAATGCCAGAATGATGACGGGACCCATTTGATTGTGGTGGGGTTTGGTGAGTTTTACAGTCATTTGTAGTGTGAAGGTTTTCTGTATCCAGAGTCTCTGGCAGAGACTCAGATGTGGACAGAGTGGATTTTGGTCTTGAAGATCTAGAATCTCCAGAAAGCTTCATTTCTAAATTCTGAATTTTTAGCAGGCACCAAGCTTTCAATTCACCGACCAAAGACAGCTGTAAAAAGAATCCAGACATCTATCAGAGTGCATCAAATGATCTCGCTCTCAATTCTCAGCCACTCTTACATTTTGTACCAACATACTTTTGAACCAAAAGTATTTGCTGAAAAAAAATATATTATTCTATTAATCTTCCATTTAATATTGTATTCTTGCCAACGTTGTTACGTTTCTCTAAAAGCTTAGATATAGATGCCGATTCACTGATATCAAAACTTTGCCATTGCAACCTATGACAATCGGTTACATCAGGGGTATCAAACTCGCAACGTCACGTGACGTGTCACGACTATCGCGACTTTTTTTGCAATTGCCGGAAATGGGGTGGGCGCGGTTTTGCTAGGATGCATCCGGCCCACGGGCCAGCAGTTTGACACCCCTGGGTTACATTAATCACAAAAGATTCCATAGAATTACACAATTATATGGTAAGTGCGGAGATATAATAGGAGGACCCACAAGCTGTAGTCCCAAGCCCCATGAAGTCCTCAAAATTCTGGGTGCAATTGAGGAAGAACAAGCCCCTTGACCTCTTGGTTTCCCTGCCAAAATGGTGGCTGCTCCCAGGAAGGAGCCATGTAGCCTTCAGGGAGACAAAGGAGCAGAGAGGCTTGGCCTCCTTGCCCACATGTCTCCAGAGCTTCCAGGAGAGCTACAGAAGGTGATCCGTGATGGGGTGGGGAGGAGGGTGTGGGACCCAGTGGGGTGAGAAGGCAGGCCAAACGCTCATGTGGATCCCAGGGGGCAAGAAGCAGAGGCCAGGATGCTTTCGGGTGGGAATCTTGATAGGCCTGGGCCTGGACTAGGTCTCCGAGGACAGGGCTTTTCAACCAGTGGTATGGGTACCACCTGTGGTACATTGGCACCTGGCAGGTGCTATGCGACCATCCTACAAAAGTGGTAGTGGGGGAAGGGAATGAGCTGAACTGGTTGCAGCACCGCACAAGCCTGAGCGAGAGATGGCTGGAGCTGCAGGGCTGTCAGAACGCAGCGGAAGCACCAGGATCAGTGCCAGGCTCCAGCTGGACCTCGGCGCTGATCCTGGTGCTTCTGCTGAGCCCTTAAGAAGCACCAATCAGTTGGAAAGCAGCCCTGATCCTGGCACTTCTGCTGAGCCCAAAAGAAGCGCCGATCAGCTGGAATGTTGCAGCATCTCCAGGGTCTTGTGATTTACATTCAGATGCTTGGCAACTGATTCACATTTATGACAGTCACAGTGTCCCAGGGTCATGTGAAGTGACCAAAACCTGCTGCAACCACACAGCAGGTCGGGGGGGGGGGAATAAAAATGAAACACCCCCCACCCCACCCCTTCTGCCAATCCTCAATAGAAATGCTCACAACAATGAAAACCTCAGACGGGGAAGAGTGTTGTTGGGCAGGCAGGCAGGTGTCTTGCTCGGCTGTGGCTTGGGGAGCACCTTTTTCAGTGCCACTGTAACTTCGAACAGTCACTAAGCGAACTGTTGTAAGTCGAGGACTACCTGAACTTTATCACTTTTTTCCTTTTGGGGGGGGGGGATCATCAAGTTTTTGACACCTTGCTAGACGACTGGTGGTACTCGGATGTTGCCATATCCTAAAAGTGGTACAATGGCTGAAAAGGTTGAAAAGCCCTGTCCTACGACCTCCCCCACCTCTGAAACATTCCATGCTCTGCTTAACAACTGCATTGGATAGAGCACGGATGGGGTCATTAAGCAAGGTGATCTCGTGGGTGCCTTGCTTAATGACTGTCGTGACTTACAACTGTAATGTGCAGGTTCCATTACCGTTTTAAGCCAAGGGCTGCCTGTATCAATTTAGAAGACAAGTGTATATAGATACCCCATCCCTAAGAATCAATATAGAGACAATATTTTACTAAAATGTTTGATGATAAACATGTTTTCAACAGCAAGAAGACATACTGAGAAAAATTATCAAAACTTACATTGAAATTGCTTTGATTTCAGCAACCTAATTTAACTCTGCTCAGAATAAAAACTTTCCACTATAACCAGAGTTCTTTTGTTGCTTTCAAAAATTTGTAATTACTTTCATTATTTCACCATTAACAAATGCCTCATCATTTCACATAATTGATCCCGCAAGTAATTGGCAAAGTACCCTCTGCTCCTGGAGTACAATTGCTGCTACTCGAAGGCTTACAAAATTGTTTCAAAACCTTTGAAGGTTTCCCAAGAAATAATCTTCTGGGCACCACACGTGCTTAGAAGATCCTGCAAGGATCCTGATAAGACTTCTAAGGAGCCACACCAAGCCTCTAAGTAGCTGTACCTAAATTGTGCTTCACACCACAAAAGCTCTTCATTACTGAAGCTCCTCATTCCCAAAGTTATTGTGTATTCACTTCAACAAGTGTAGTAACCTACCTGGCGTTTCTCCCCTTCGTTTCTTTCCAACTCGGTGTGCTGAAGACGATGAAGACATTCTGCTCTTTCTGCTGACAGCCTCTCTGCCATTAATTTGTCTAAAACACGGAGCTGCGGTGGAACCAAAAGGCTCATTCAGAAATGGTATTCTTGCAATCATTTACTAGAACGTATACATCAAGCCATTAGATCAATACTGTTACATCTGAAAAGGGCACTTTTAATGAAGCAGCGTGACTAAAAATAGTTATTTCGGTATTTAAAAAATGTGTACACACTAAAAATTATTTCAAATTTTAGCTACAGATGTGCCCACAAGTAAAAAAGAATGTATTAGTTCTCTTTCAGTAACTGAAGATTTCAACTATCTGTCTACTTGCTGTACATAGAGATGTACATTCTTATACACATATACAACTAGGTTTACACATTATGCTAAGCTAGAATATAATTTCTTTTTTAGCCCAAATGTGTGAGTCCAGGCAATGTAGTTTATTCACTAAGCTTTGTTTAAAACGTAGCTTATCATAGGTATGAACTGGGCCAATTTCTTTCCAAGTCTTATACAGATAGTCTCATTTAATAACCACAATTGGGACTGACAACTCTGCCACTAAGATTTCTCACTAAGTGAAGCACTCAGTAGATGAGAAATTGTGGTTACAACTATGTTTTCCTTTCTTCCTCCCTCACCCAGCCTTTGGAGTGCGGACTCTGGCACTTTGGATAGCCAGCTCAAAACTGACAAGACTAAATCTGATTAATTTCACATCTTCCCTTTTGCCTGGCCCTTTGGATTGCAATGGCCTTCCAGAACTAGTAAAAACAGATTCCTGCAGAAGGACTTTGGGAGTGTTATGTATATACATGTATATGTACGTGTGTACTTACATTCATTGTACAGGAAGGAATTTCAAGAGAGTAAGCAGACATACAATGGGGAATATATACTGAAAGCAATATATGTAAATGCGGGTATTGGTTGTGAAGTTCAATACTGTTGTAACCTCCAATAGTTGTTAAATGAGGCAGTTAGTAAGCAATGACTACCAGGTTTGGCTTTCATGGCTAGTATCAATTGGGTAGTGCTGTGCTTCAGAGTTTAGTGGCTATGGCCTAACATCAGGAAATCTGTTGTGTAGACTATGATCACCAAACCCTGAAGCCCAGCACTGATCTTTCTAAATCTGCTGTGTAATAATGAGAGCTGTAAGACAGGAAGTTTGGCGCCCTACTGCTTGTGCTTCCTCAGCTAGGAGTAGGCAATCTTGGCTCTTTTATGACTTGTGGACTTCAACTCTCAGAATTCCTGAGCCAACCAAGCTGGCTTAGGAATTCTGAAGTCCACAAGTCATAAAAGAGCCAAGGTTGCCTATCCCTGTCCTAAGCAAAGGGAGCAGAAAATAATTTCCACATTGTGGCAACCATATCAGATAAAAACAGCTTTGCTCTCATATCATATAATGTGTTTCACATGGTAATAATAGGCAGTCAACCAGTGAATGCTGCTACATCTATTTTCCTCATAAATCCCACATTCTGAGAAACGTTGCATCCCTTAATTCTTCCTTACCTGATGTTGGGTTTTGTTTTCCATCTGTCCTAATTTGCTGTTCATCTTATCTTGCACTGCTACTAATTCAGCTTTTATTTCTTCCATAGCAGCTACCAGCTGGTTCTCTACTTTATGTATTAGTGGCTCACAACGACATCCATTTATAGGTGCCTACAAGAAATGACCACATACACATATGCATAACCATCTTTCTCTGAACAAACACATTTTGCTAATATAAGCAAAGACAATCACAAAGGATAGCACTGGATTGGGGCCTCCTGGAAGCAAATTAATGGGGAAAAGGAAATATGCATGCATGCAGTTTAAAAATAAATTTGAACTACAATTTCCAGCCAAGGGAATTTATTAGCATTCATTTTATGACATTAATAACACAGGAAATAAAAAAAGCATGGTACAGAGGTACGCTAAGCTGAGCCATTTCTTCATGTTTCTTCTGTTTTGGAGTGTTGTATGCTTTATTCTTAGCATGATTTTTGTTGGATAAGCACTCCTAAAAGGACTAGCACTTGTTTTGCATGTTCCCCATTTATACATTGTCTGGTGTTGTAACTTTTTGAATATTGACAGCCCTTTTTCTGAGGTCCATGACATGAGATGCAGAATCCAATGGTGGCAGTCAATATGCGTTAGTTTTTATAGGGGAAGGATCTTCAAACTCATATTTGATTGTCATCTCATTGATTGGAATACCTGATTGAATTATTCCCTTAAGTGTGTGTGTTATTGTGAGACTTCATATAACTTTTTATAACAAAGACATTGTTATAAACATGACATTGAAATACTTTTATGGCATCCTCTGTATGAGTCTATTTATTTATTAAAAGGACTCAGATGAACCTTAGATTACACTCTAGGCCACAGTTCTGTAAGATTATTTAAGTCTTTTACATCTTTCTCTCACCTCTCATATTGTTTTGAAGATGCAAAAGTACAGTTAACGGTTTAAATAACTCAGTTGATACAAAAGTGTAAAACTTAATTTGTTTTAGAAATACATGATATATGTGATACAATATCTATGTACTTCATTGTAATACTTGTGATCTAGCCCTGATGTTTCTCAACACCAGAGTCTTCCAGACATGTGGGCTTCTTGTAGTGAAATCCATGCATGTTTAAGTACTATGTGATGTCTTGTTTAAAGATGGCCAACAAAGCTATTCTTTTACCCTCAAGAAACAAGAACTTAAAAAAAAATCCTAGAACCAAAAAGTATTAAGGAATCCTTACTGGGACTACAAACGTACCTGTAGGTTGCTTACTTAGTCTTTCAAAAGTTCTGCCACCAATCAAAATTAAAAAGTAATTTCCAAATCAGGTATCTTCAGTGTCTAATTCTTCTTAAAGAAACATTGTGTTTGCCACCAAGAAATAATTCAGAAAGCTAAATAATTTAATCACGAAAGCACATTCATATTCCTCTGATCAAGCCATCTTCTTAAAGCACATACACAACGATTTCCTATAAATTACAGAACTTTCCTGAAAATCCTTTACTCCTTCACTACCCCAAGCAACATTCTGCTTTGAGATTTATACCTGCATGATTTTTCCATTCTTTCCTCGATACAGAGTATATAATTGATAGGCCCTGAATTCATGGGGTGGTGGTGGAGATGCACAGCGCTGTTTGCTTCTGCGTTTTGTCGGGTTTTGCTGTGGACCAGGAGGTATCTGCTGATCCGCTGGGGGTAAAGGATCAGAAAGCGCCAATACCTAATTTTTAAGGAAAGGAAGAAACAGCGTTTTTATCAGCAAACAAAACAATTGGGCTCTTTTTGTTTTTTTAACCTGTTTACTTTTATTAGCTAAATTTCGAAACATTCCCTGCTCATCAGGATCAGATATATGTAATGTCACAGTTGACTCCCAGAAGGGGCCCAACAAAACAGAAAATATGATCTGAATCTAGAGTTCAGCAGAAAGTAAACCCAGAATGTTTTGGTGTTTCTGGATTCCAGATGAAGTGATTTTTTAAGACAGCCTGTCCTATCAGCATCTGATTCCTGAGCTTCTCAGAGTTTCCTTTCCCTCGTTCCCTCAATTTCCATCACCAATGTCTCAGCATGAAATCTCCCATCAACCCACATGATCTCTTCATCACTATCTTCCTTTCCTGCTTCCTCTGCAACTTCTCTGTCACTCTGGCTTTTCCCCCATCTTTACCATCGCACACATACTTCCCAAATTATTTCTGCCTAGAACAGTCGTGGCGAACCTATGGCACGGGTGCCAGAGGCGGCACTCAGAGCCCTCTCTGTGGGCACGCGCGCTGTCGCCCCAGTCCTAGGCAGGGTTTTATAAAACCTTTTCGCTTTAGACCTCCGCCGCCGTGTATAAAAAAAAGATTCAATCAGTCAATTTCATCTTGCAAAGTTGGAATTGATTGATTGAACTTTTTAGTCCCACCCAGTCTGCTGTTACCACCGCAGCCACGCCCACCCAATGGGCCACACCCACCCGGCACCCGACGATGCATAAACCAAAGCTTTCTTAAATTACTTAACATGAAGTTACTTAAAACAACTTTGCTATAGTTTTATGTAAGGTTAGACCTTGATAATTGGGACACAGAATAAATCAAATCATGAAGATTGTTAAGGTATGTTTACCATCATAACACTCTTCCATTTTCTAAACTCACAAAGATGTTCTTTTGGGTTGCAGTTTGGGCACTTAGTCTAAAAGAGCCGAGGTGGCACAGCAGTTAGAGTGCAGTACTGCAGGCCACTTTAGCTGACTGTGTTCAGCAGGTCAGCGCTTCAAATCTCACCGGCTCAAGGCTGACTCAGCCTTCCATCCTTCTGGGGTAGGTAAAATGAGGACCCAGATTGTTGGGGGCAATGTAAATATATATATACATTGCTTACTGGTGTATACCGCTTAGAGAGTGCTTGCACTTAAAAGCGGTATATAAGTCTCATAAATAAATAAATAAATAAATAGTTCGCCATCACTGGCCTAGAACAACCATATTTCATTCTCAGCACAAAACAGCTCTGCTTTGTTCTATGTATGGAACAAAATTTCCAAATTATACGTGCCTTAATTTGGAGCGGGACCAACTGTATTTGCATAACCCTAAATTCACAGCCTGCATTCCAATTTATGTATCCTGTATGTTTATTGAAGTTTAAAGTAACACATAGAATATTATTTATTATTCTCTCTAATATTGACCATAATAGGTACATATATGTCCATGATATTGATTTATTGTACTGAAGAGGCAAGGCTGATGTGTATCAAGTCCTCTCCTTCCTTCCTCCCCTCAGCTGCTGAAAAGGTCTTCATTACATTGAGCTATTTTAATTTAATTAATTACATTTGAATTACCACCAAAGCTTTATTTCTATTTGGAATACACTTTCATGGATGGGAAAAATGTGCTTGAAATAATGGTTAACTAACAAACCTGTGCCTATACAGCCTATTAACTACTCTTCACATCCTATAAACTTTCTTACAGTGATTTGCACTATTAGATATATTTTTTTAAATATAAAACTATGGCTGAGTCTGTTAGGATTGGATGCTTTTGGCAAAGAATAACAAAGGCCTAGGAAAGAAGCACACACTGTTGATAGAAAGCTAAAAACACACTGCCTGCCTCAAAAGACCACAGTGTCTCTGTTGAGGTCCACCCACTAATATACCTTTTCTCCTGGTTTCTTCTTTTTACTCTTCTTCTCTCTTTGCTCCGATGAAGGCAATTGGCTTTCATTTTTCAAGTCACCACGCCCTTGAGCAGGATCACTGCTGTGGGTGTCTTCAGCAGCAGAAGCACTATCCTGTTCCAAATACAAGCACATCTAGGCAAGAACAAAATGAATCTCCACTTTTGTCCCAAAGATGCTTTTTCACAAGGCAACTGAATTTTCTTGGTTTTTTTTTTTTTTTTTGAAGACGTTTCACTTCTCATCCGAGAAGCTTCTTCAGCTCTGAACTGAAGAAGCTTCTTGGATGAGAAGCGAAACACCTTCAAAGAAAAACAAAAAAGTCCAGTGGCCTCGTGAAAAAGCATCTTTGGGGCAACCATGACCTGGATGACTGAGAATCTCCATAGACAGATCTCCATTTTTTCCTTTCACGTTTTATGGGTAATCCTGATCACGGTACTGCACAAATTCCAAGCGGAGGACCAGCAACAAAAGGCAGCACTCAGCTTACAATCATAAATACTAATAGTTGGTTCAAGGTGCTTCTCATTCAATGACACAACAGATACACCCATGGCAAATCCACATAGCTTCAAGTGGTTGGAGTTACTGTAGTTAACAGTCTTTCAGTTCTCATACTGCTTTCCTTCCCTCCTAAATAAATAGAAATGGCTGTACCTTGCTTTGCACCACTTCATCACGTGGCACAGACTGAGCACGTCTTTCCTCTTTAAGTCTCTCCCTTTTCTTCCTCAGGCTCCTTCCACGGTTAAAGCGTGAAATCTATATTCAGCAAAGTTTCTCATTAAGATGACAGAACCAGATCTAAAGTTAAACTTCAAAAGGACTCGCTAAACCTAAACTGAGTTAAGATAGTTGCAACCGAATTAAATCCTATTAAATGTTAATACTTCTCATAATCAATTAAACCTCTGGGTTCAGGTTTGAATCCAGCCCATTATTGCCTAATTACAGGTAGTCCTTGAGCCTGTCCATCATGGCTGTAACTCACGATGGTTGTAGATCAGATCAACAACATAACTGACCTGATTTTACAACCAGTGAACCGATTAACTTGCACTGGACACAGTTTTGCTGAAAATCAGAAGTAAGTGCTAGGTTCCACAGAAACATTTTAAAACACAGTCCCATGACGGCGGGACCCTGCAAACCATTGTAAACTCTCAGGGAGGCCCATCGTACCTTCAGATGATCACTAAGTGACCTGTTGTAGGCCAGGGACTAAAGTTTAAACTCTGCTGTTTATTTAAAGTAGCACTAACAAGGAGAATGGACACAATACAATGTTCAACCAGCTATGTAAATGAGTACGGGGCAAGATGGAGAATGTAGGCTAGGATCTGCAGAATGTAGGCTAGGATCATGGAAGGTGCGTGGTTTTGTGTGCTGCATCCTGTGGATGGGGCTTTGCTTGTTTGTGCGAACCGGCTGCTGGCATGCCGCGTCCCGATACTGGTCCACGGACCAGGGGGTTGGGGACCCCTACTCTATGTGCCAGAAAGTTTAAACTGGGTCCAGATCTTACTTTGGTCCCAATTAAGAGTAGATCTATTGGATGTCATGGTTCCGACTAATGAAACACTTCAAAGAACTTCCAGGCATGTTTATCCTAAAGCTTTTATTACCAATGTTACAAATTGACGACACATCATGGAGGTTTATGCCAGAATCTGAATTCCTCTTGCTGGCATCTAACTTTTCTTGCTATACCCCTCCCTTATCTTGCAGTCACAAGTCACATCTTCCAACTAGCCCAGAGGACAGAGATTCACTTCCATTCCTTTTCTCTGGCTTTTGTTGTTTCCCCTCCCTTTTCTCTGTCATCTGAATTAACTCTAAAAATACCAGACAGTTCTGCATATTTTGTCAAAGCAAGAATATTCAATATTAGCAGCGTTGACATCGGAATTTTAAATTAGTTGTGTGTAACAAGTCTCTTTTCAATGAATCCACTTTAGAGGGTGAACAGATATCTGATACTCATAATTACATTTTTGTGAGAAATGTTCACTTCCAAGTATTTTTGTGAAATTAAGTTTCCAATTCAGTCATGGCACATGATGTACCTGAGGGGCTTTTGTAAGCAGAAGAGCAATTTCAGGATTGTTATGTTCCCGGGCAACTTCCAGGGGGGTCTGGCCAGCCTGTAATAGAAAAGGTTGGTTTGTGTTCCTGCAAAACCATCAAGAAAGTTCAAAAAGCCTGGACATTTTTAAACAGTTGACAGAAAAGACTCCTTTTGAGCTGAGCTTCTTAAAGTGAAAGGGGAGGATAGCCACTAGGTCAGGGGTAGGCAACCTTGGCTCTTTTATGACTTTTATGAGCCAGCATGGCTGGCTCAGGAATTCTGGGAGTTGAAGTCCACGAGTCATAAAAGAGCCAAGGTTGCCTACCCTTGCACTAGGTGGTTGTTTGTTTTTTTTTAATTCCCCAGCTTAATCTAGTCTTGGGAAAGGCTTGAGATTTCCTGCTAACCTCCTCTGATTTAGCATTTCCTGATTAGCCAAAGTCAACCAGGAACTATGATTGATTACATTTATAACGCTTCTCCTCATGTATGAGCCTGAAGTATAGGTAGATCCTCAACCTATGACCACCGTTTAAGCCCAAAATTTCTGCTGCTAAGTGAGACATTTATGAAGTGAGTTTTGCCCCATTTTGCAACTTTTCTTGCCACAGTTATTAAGTGAATTGCTGTAGTTGTTAAGTTAGTAACACAGCTGTTAAGTGAATCTGGCTTCCCCCACTGACTTTGCTTGTCAGAAAGTTGCAAAAGATGAGATCACCTTGACCCCAAGATACTGCAACCGTCATAAGTATGAATCACTTCCTAAGCATCTGAATTTTGATCACATGACCATGGGGATGCTCTAATGGTTGTAAGTGTGAAAAACAGTCATAAGTCACTTTTTTTCCAGTGATGTTGTAACTTCGGATGGTCATTAAAGTCAATGCTGTAAGTCGAGGACTACCTGTATACCCATATGACCTTATTAGGTGCCCATGATTTTCATGTTCCCCACAGCAACTTTTCAGTCAGTATTTAATAGAAAGTAGAACAGTAACACAAAACATTTCCACACTTACACTGTTAACTACGGTCTCATCAGCTCCAGCTTCCAATAGCAATTTTGCCACTTTTTTATGATTCAATGCAGCAGCTACATGAAGTGCTGTATCTCCAGCCTAAAAATTACAAAATCAGAATGTCCTGTTCATCATGACCTTGATTTTCACATTCAGCCCTGCTCTCTCTCTCTCTCTCTCTCTCTCTCTCTCTCTCTCTCTCTCTCTCTCTCTCTCTCTCTCTCTCTCTTTCTCTCTCTTTCTTTCTTTCTCTCCCTCCCTCCCCCGCTTGTCTCATATATATATAGGGGTACCTTGCTCAACAGTAGTAACTGTGAGAGGGACCTTGGAGTCCTAGTAGACAATCACCTAAATATGAGCCAGCAGTGTGCTGCAGCTGCCAAAAAGGCCAACACAGTGCTAGGCTGCATTAACAGAGGGATAGAATCAAGAGCAAGTGAAGTATTAATATCACTTTACAATGCCTTGGTAAGGCCACACTTAGAATACTGCATCCAGTTTTGGTCACCACGATGTAAAAAAGATGTTGAAACTCTAGAAAGAGTACAGAGAAGAGCAACAAAGATGATTAGAGGACTGGAGGCTAAAACATATAAGGAACGGTTGCTGGAATTGGGCATGTCTAGTTTAACAAAGAGAAGGATGAGGGGGGACATGATAGCAGTGTTCCAGTATCTCAGGGGCTGCCACAAAGAAGAGGGAGTCAAGACTGGACAGCCATTTGTCTGAAACAGTATAGGGTTTCCTGCCTGAGCAGGGGGTTGGACTAGATAACCTCCAAGGTCCCTTACAATTTTATTATTATTTATTTATTATTATTATTATTGATCATCGCACAGTCAGCCAGATGTTCAGACTGGATTTGGCATTTTGTCTACCTATTGAGTCCTTACCCAGGACCTGGGATAGGCAGATGTGGATGTTGGATGGTATTACAGGTATCGTCGCAGGATGGAAGCAGTTCCTAATAAGGCCGCCTTTTGCAATTGACTAATAGCGAATTTGTCAATGCCAATTGTGTTCAAGTGGTGCTCCAGTTGTTTTGGGATTGCACCCAAGGAGCCTATGACTATTGGTACTACCTTGCTTGCTTTTGCCACAGTCTTTCTATTTCTATTTGTAGGTCTTTGTATTTTGTTATCTTCTCCAGTTCTTTCTCTTCTATTCTGCTATCTCCAGGCACTGCCACGTCCACTATCCAGACTTTTTTGTCTTTCTTATCGACAATTGTTAAGTCTGGGGTGTTATGTTGCAGGTGCTTGTCTGTTTGAATTCTGAAGTCCCAGAGCAGTTAATTTTATCATTTTCTATGACTTTCTCTATTTTATGATCCCACCAGTTTTTGCTTACAGGCAAATGATATTTTTTGCAGATCTTCCAATGCACCATTGTTGCTACTTTGTCATGTCGCTGCTTGTAGTCAGTCTGTGCAATCTTCTTGCAACAGCTTACCATGTGGCCCACTGTTTCTTCAGCTTCTTTGCATAGGCGGCACTTACTGTCTGTTGCTGTCTTCTCAATTTTGACTTTATATGCATTTGTCCTTAAGACTTGGTCTTGTGCAGACAGAATTAGTCCCTCGGTTTCTTTCTTCAATTTTCCTGCTCTTAGCCATTGCCAGGTCTTGTTATTATCTGCTTTCCCAGCTATTTTTTTTAATGTATTGGCCATGTAGTGCTTTGTCTATTATTATTATTATTATGGATCATTGCACATTCAGCCAGATGTTCAGACTGGATTTGGCATTTTGTCTACCTATCGAGTCCTTACCCAGGACCTGGGATAGGCAGATGTGGATGTTTGATGGAATTACAGGTATCGTCGCAGGATGGAAGCAGTTCCTAGTAAGGCCGCCTTTTGCAATTGACTAATAGCGAATTTGTCAATGCCAATGGTGTTCAAGTGGTGCTCCAGTTGTTTTGGGATTGCACCCAAGGCGCCTATTACTATTGGTACTACCCTTGCTTGCTTTGCCACAGTCTTTCTATTTCTATTTGTAGGTCTTTGTATTTTGTTATCTTCTCCAGTTCTTTCTCTTCTATTCTGCTATCTCCAGGCACTGCCACGTCCACTATCCAGACTTTTTTGTCTTTCTTATCGACAATTGTTAAGTCTAGGGTGTTATGTTGCTGGTGCTTGTCTGTTTGAATTCTGAAGTCCCAGAGCAGTTTGATTTTATATTATTATTATTATTATTATTATTATTATTATTATTATTATTATTATTATTATTATTATTATTTGGAGAAACTTCCTGACAGTTAGAACAATTAATCAGTAAAACAAGCTGCCTCCAGAAGTTGTGAATGCTCCAACACTGGAAGTTTTTAAGAAGAGACTGGACAGCCGTTTGTCTGAAATGATGTAGGGTTGGACTAGATGCCTCCAAGGTCCCTTCCAACTCTATTATTGTTGTTGTTGTTGTTTAGGAGGCATAGAAGCAGATTCTTCTTTATATCAGCTTTTAGGTCTACCATATTTTAGCAATCAATAGTTGACTGCAACAAGTGGAAACAGCAATCAAAACCTATTGGAAAACCCACAAATATTCACTTTGCTCAATATCATCTTGGACTCCTTTGCTACATCCCCAAACAGTTGCCACAGTCATTCAGATTGATTTCAAAAAAAATTTATCGCTTGGCAATATTACGTGAGCATTCATAAGCCCTGGATAAGGATTTGTTGCTTTCTTTCTCTGCTCTTTCATTGTACCTTATAATGTTCCACCAGGGCATTTTTCAGCAGAATGGAGTGGAATGCACTGTGCAGTGCGCAGTGACACAGGTATGATCTGTTATAATCATCCTACAGCCCCAGTCAGTGGTGGGATTCAAATATATGAACAACCGATTCTCTGTGTGGATGCCGCTTTCGGAAGTCCGTTCTGGGTCTGGGCAACAAAAAAATAGCTACCGGTTCTGCTGAACTGGTGCAAACCGGCTGAATCTCACCACTGGCCCCAGTGGAGTATATGAGAATATCAGCCAATGGGGTCTCATTGTCAGTGAGATTTCTTACATCTAGCCACTTTTGTTTCTATAACATTCCCACAAAAGAAAATGTTGTGGCAAGAATTGTACCTAATAGCAAGACTTGTACCTAATTACTTGGTACTTTGTAAGCAAAACTGCATGACTGGAAATAATCCAAATTACTGGGTTATTTTTTAATTATTTGAAATCCTTACAGTAAAATCCTGAAGTAACATATCCTCTGGGAAGAAGAAGCACCTGTTAAAGTTATTACATCCAAATTTATGTAAGTGGTGGATAATATTCATAAAATATACCAAAGTTCATAACAAATTCCTTTAAGGTTAGTCTGCTTTATGTAAATTTTCATGTTATTTGGGTATGAAATCCAAATTAGATTTTTTCCTACTGCATTCAAAGTCTTCAGAATGATCATCCATAGAGTTGAATTATTACTACGCTGCAGTTTTTTTCTATTTTATTTTATGTGACCAAAAATACTTCATTTTAAAGTATGAATGCCATGAGAACTTCCAACATAGCCAACAGAAGATGCCCAGTTTCTTCAAGGCCCTTCTGAACACCAAAACACCATAGGTTCCCAATAAATATTTACTTCAATTGCTTTCTATGAGATCCAGATTACTACAACCTCTGTCCCAGTACCAGAATACATGTGAAAAGCTGACAGCAAATGAAACATGAGCATTAAAGTGCATGCACTGACCTGATTTTTTTCATGGACGGAACAGAAAGCAGTGAGCAGCACCCTAATGATTGGTAAGTGATTGTAACGAGCTGCAACATGCAAACAGGTGTCTCCTGCCTAAAAATAAAGGGGAGGAGCTAAGCAAACCCAGTAAAAAAAGCTTCAGCCAATGAGATGTCCCACCTTAAAGCAACATACACATTCCCTGAGAGGCTCTAAACCAGTGATGGCGAACCTTTTAGAGACCGAGTGCCCAAAAACTGTCCCACCCCTGCTCCACCCCCTGCCCTGCCCACTCCACCACTACTTTGCCCCGCCCCCATCCACAGGGCCACTCACCCCCTCCACAGCCCACCGCAGATCGCCCAGGCAGCCCTGCAACGCCATGGCAGCCACACCCTCCGCCCGTGCCCCGGAGCATCATTTGTGCGCGACAGGGCATGAGGGCAAAGTCTTTCCCTGCTGCCCGGTTCACATGTCCTTGGCTGCGCTGCTCCGCGCAGGCCGCATCTAGGGACGACTCTCCTTCGGGCGGCTGCTGGTGAGGAGGGAGCCATGGGGGAAGGCAGGGCTGGGGCAACAGCACGCATGCCCACAGAGAGGGTTCCGAGTGCCACCTCTGGCATGCATGCCATAGGTTCGCCATCATTGCTCTGAACCAACGTGCACAAAATACTGACCACTATTTTGCTATTCAGCTAATGACAAGGATGGGAATTGAGAGTTCTTAGATGTCAATAACCCATTAACTTGGTAGCTGCACTATTAGGATAGTATACTTATATTTTACTAATCAAAGACAAGCCACCTGACACCTTTAGTTGCAAGGGCTCCTTTTATGAGGGATCCCTGGTGTTCTCTGAGCTCGGTTCTTTTCTTACAAATATTCTCCTTTATTGCTGCTTTTATGCTCAGTGTACTAAGCAGAACTTTAAATCTTCACCCAATCCATAACTGAAAAATGTGTTATTTGGCTCCGTTCAACTGATGACTCATTTAGGATGCTCGTTCCAGGAAATTAAGCTTATAATTGCTATATGCTTTTTTTGAAATGAATCCACTAACATCTGAAATGCATATTGAAATGACTCATGTCACAATTTTAATACCAGCATGCTTGTGGTTATACAGATAATGAAACAATGAACAGATCATAACGCAGAGACTCCATGCAGATTCTGAAACATCTGTATCTGAACATCCAAAACAGTCAATACATTTGGTTTAATAACATTTTTTTTTAAAGGCCTATTTGGTAATACTCACATTGTTTTTGATATCAGTCCGAGAGCCTCCAAGCAGTAGAACTCGCACACTTTCAGAATGATTGTTCTGGCAGGCCAAATGCAGTGGAGTGTTACCTGCCTTAAGAAAGAAGGAGGGGCACAACACTAATCATCATTACAAAAACAAGTGTGGAATTTTTTTTTTTTTTTTAAAAAGCAGTTGTTCTATTTGGGGGAGGAAAGAATGAATATGAATGCTATTTAGTTAGAATTTGCTTTAGGGAAAAAAAAACTTTTTTCCTAGTGAGTGGCTCAACAATGACCGGGAAATAAGATAAGGATGTGGTTGTTATTTAATGTATAACTATATAAGTAAGGATTACTTGGAATATTAAATGGCGGTGGAAGACATGAATGTGAACACGTGTATATGCAAACAACACTGTGTTGTTGCTGGGAAGATTAGAAAAACTGTATGATGCAATGAATGGTGATAAAAATGGCTATATACCATGGCACTGAAAAAAATGACTTATGACCTTTTTTCACACTTATGACCATTGTAGCATCCCCATGGTCACATGATCAATATTCAGACACTTAGCAACTGGTTCATATTTATGACCGTTGCTATGTCCCAAGGTCATGTGATCACCTGTTGCAACCTTCTGACAAGCAAAGTCAATGGGGAAGCCTGTTTCACTTAACAACCGTGTTACTAACCAGCTGCAGTGATTCACTTAACAATTGTGGCAAGAAAAAAAAAGTCATAAAATGGGGCAAAACTCACTTAACAAATGTTTCACTTAGCCACAGAAATGTTGGGCTCAATTGTGGTCGTAGGTTGAGGACTACCTGCATTAGAGGATGCTTCTACCAACTTCTTTATACAGAAATGACCTCTGTGGATATTAGAAAAAAGATAAAAGGATGCTGAAGGTTGAAGGAATGGGACACTTAAGTTGTGTGGTAAAACAAGAAGAAATAGGGTAAAAAATGAACAAGTGACGAATGACTATGGCCTGAATACAAAGAGAATGAACAGTTTCCACTGGTGTGGTCATCCACAGAGAGTGAATGAAGGTTGAGTTGCAAAACAAACAGATGAAGGAAGGGTAAATAACTCAAGGGAAGACAAAGAAGTCATGGGTGGATGGAGTTGGAGAAATTCTCAGGAAAAGGTAAAAAGCTTAAAGAACAAACAGGAAAGTGTAAAGTGATGTATGGATGTAGCCTCAGCAAGGATGATCTTCAAGGACGGGGAGAGAGAGAATGAATGGTATTGATGCAAACTAAATTTAGCTATATTCCTTTTCATTATTTCATGGTACTACTTTTTTTTCTTACTATTTCTTACTCCTTTTCTGTGCTTTGCAAAACAGCTTCTAAAGCCAAAAGGAAATAGTATGTAATGGCTTGTCTATATACAAACATTTTCTTTTATTATGTCTGGTCTCTAAACAAAAAAAAAACAAAAAAAAAACTGTAACGTGGGCATTAAAAATGCAATAAACGTAGACCCAATGTTTAAGAACAACAAGATGCAAATTTTTGTTCCCCCAAAGATAACATCCAGAAATCAGGATCAGAATCCAGACATAAGGAATTGAGGAAGAACATTATGGGGGCCAACACAGTATGATCAACAGTGCTATTAACCATTAATTTTCAAATTTACCTGTACATTTTGTGTCTTCATATACCTTATTGGAATCCAATTTGATAAGTTAAATATAATGGAATATAGACAATTAAATTTCATACTACATATCACTGTCAGCTAGCAAGTATGCATAGATGCTTTTCTCTCTATTTATGACATAGGAACATTTTCAAAATTTTATCAACAAAAGCCCATTTCCAATTATATTAATAGCTAGTTGTACCCAGCCACACGTTGCTGGGGCTCAAGAAAGAAAAGAGAAAGCGCACGTTTGTAATATGTTTAATTTCACAATGCTTGTGGGTATACAGTATTTTTTATTGTTCCATTGTGTGTGCAGATATAGAGATTACGTCCAACAGATGGTGCTGTTTTTCAAAAAAAGCATGTTTTATCTGTTTTTCAAAAAAAGCATGCTTTTGCCTTTCACAGGTAAAATTTCAAAGCAATCGGTTGAAGACCTTTCGGAGATTTAAGATTTTGAACAAATGAACATTTACATTTTTATTTATATAAGATAAGATGACATCAATGCATTATAATGCAGAATAACAAGAAGCCTCTATTTTCCTGAGCTCCAAAATAGCACTTGCTTCAAAGAGAGAAGAGTTGTGTACTGGCTATAACAGTTGAGGAAAGATGAAAGAATAACACTGCCACAACTGTTAAATTATATACAACCCAGCAAGGTGAATATAAACAAAGCTATGGGACTCCTTAAATATCGACAATCAATGGCAACTCTGTTTTTAATTGAACAACAGAAACACAATCACAAACAGGGATCATAATGCTCCATCACGAAGGAAATTAAGTCAATTTTCCTTTGCTTTTCTACTTTTGTGCTTAACTCTCCTATTTCTGATAAATTTATTTTTATTTCTTCACTACTTTCTTGTTGGCCCGATTCACATTCTTATTACAATGAATCTTGTCTACCTTGAGTGCAATGATAAAAGTCTTTTCAGCGAAAATAAAATGCAACTGTGTCAGTTATCAAGATAATCCATTTCTAGCACAAAAATGTCTTCATGAGGAACAACTGAGGTACAGCCAATTAACGCAAAAGAAATGTACTACCGCTACTCAGGAAATGTCACTGCCAAAAGCAACTGATAAGGAAAAATTGATGCTTTACCTATTGTGCGTCTTTTCTCAGACTACAAGAATTGAAAAGCTCCTTTTGGTGTGTAGCTCACCTTGTTCCTAGCCAGGACATTAGCTCCTGCTTTAACAAGCAGCTTGGCTGACTGACTGAATCCATGCCAAGAGGCTTCATGAAGAGCTGTGTTCCCATCCTGGGGAGCAAAACAGAAAAACAAAATAAGTTTTTTTTATGTTATAATGCCACTTTACATCTATTGGGCATCACCACCAAAGAAATGTCTCTTGTCATAGGAAGAGAAACATTCTAAACATTCTGCCTTGGAAACCAGGCAATTCAACCCTATTTTTTATTATTATCTGTTCCCAACAATATGAAGCCATAGCTGCCAGTTCTTTAGCTGGCGTTGGCCTTCATGCACGTGGAGTTCTTCCCAAGAACGTAGGATGTCATAATGTACCAGTGTGATATATGTGTGGATCCAAGCAGTGTGGCCTTTTGCAAGTGACAGATGGAAATGTTGTCAATGCACATATGTTCTAAGTGCCATCCAAGATTTTTGGATATGGCACTCTTTCAATTTCAATTTTTAAATCTATTATTATTATTATTACTTCTAATACTACTACTTTTTCTCCTCTCAGTAGAAACTTGGCACATCTATTTTGCTTGTTACTTAATTTTTACAATTGGATAACCAAATTTGGAAATATGCCACTAACATTTGATGGCATAATCTTGGATGGAATGCCAAAAGCCACAAACAGAGGACCTTGGCCATAATTATGTTACCTTGTCTTGCCTGTCCAATGCACACCCTTCGTGGATAAGAGCTGAGATAACCTCTGTGTTCCCTACAACAGTCGCCCGGTGCAAAGCTGTTTGATCACTCTGCAGAAAGAAGCAGTGATGTTTCTATTTAATGAAGTTATATTACACACGGTGATATAGTTCTTTTCATGGGGAGAACATACTAAGTGACTGGGAAATGCATTCAGCCCACAGTTTGATAGCAAATATACACTCTAGTTGTAACAGTCGCAGGCTTGGTTTACACATTCTGCTAAGTTATAATGTGGTTTACTTGGCTTTGGTCACAGCAGGTGGCAGCACATGATCAAATTTGGTTGATGTGGAGGTGTTAAGGATGAGCAACTTTCAGAAAATTTTAGAGCAGTACAAGGGACTGGGACTGAAAAACGACAACAAACTGAGAACTAATTTGGTCTAGTTGTTATGGCACAAGGATAGAGACCAGGAGTTGGTGAATTCTAGTCCCACTTTCGACGTGAAAATCACTGGGTGAGTTGAGCCACTCACTCTCTCTCAGCCCAACCACTTCATCACAGGTGGGGAAAATAGGAGAAGGAAGTATTAAATATATTCACTGCCTTGAGTTATTTATAAAATAAATAAGAGTAGGATAAAAAAAAAGGAAGGGAAAGGAAAAACCACTTCCATACATTTTAAAAAATAAATTAAATGAACAAGGTCAGTAAGGTCACCAGGAAAGGAGTCCAACTAAAGGGTTTATTTAGTTTAATGCAGGGGTCTTCAAACTTGGCCCTTTTATGACTTATGGATTTCAACTCCCAGAATTCCTAAGCCAGCGTGCCTGGCTGAGGAATTCTGGGAGTTGAAGTCCACAAGTCATAAAAGGGCCAAGTTTGAAGACCCCTGGTTTAATGTAAAGACTGAAGTCAAAACATGATAGTTTATAAATTGTAGCAGATTAGTTCACACATTTTGCTAAACCAAAAGTAAATTACATGATGGTTAGTATTATGTGTGAATCAAAAAAGGTAATATTAAGTTATTTAATTACTTATATCCCACCTTTATTATTTCTATAAATAACTCAAGTTGGCGAACATATTGTTTCCTTCTCCTATGTTTCATATTTTTCCTACAAGAATAACCCTGTGGAGTGAGCTGGACTGAGACAGAATGACTGGTCCAAAGCCATCCATCCAGCTTTCATGCCTAAGGTAGGACTAGAACTCACAGTCTTCTGGTTATAAGCACCTGCTATGTGTTATAGAAATGGGGAAAAAACACAAATTGAATACTTACCCAAGTATTCTAATTAAATTTTACTCCAAAAATATAATTCATATCATTTCCCTTTTTCTTTTTAAGTCTAGAAAATAGCCATAGTTTCTACTCTACCCTTAATATTACTCTGAAGTGTATTTTATCCAAATTCAAGTTTCTTATCTTTTCAACAATTGTAGTTTCTTCTTTACTTTGCATTTGATCAGAGACAACACAATGCCTCATATCTTTCCTAAGACGGCTTCTAGAAATTGTTCCTTCAGCAGCATTTATACTGCCAAATCAAAGAATCAATTTTTTTCTACAATTTGAGCAAGTTTCCGCACCCCATTTCCTTAAAATGATCTCCAAGAAGGCAACATTCTAATCAGATGATGATGATGATGATGATGATAACAATAACAATAATAATTCCATTTCCCTTGTCTCTGCTTCAATCTTTCATAAACCTGTTCTTATGAATTTAAAAACAGCTGATACTTTAATTCTCAAATTACATAGAATGCTTTTTCAACTTGGAAAACGTTTACTGCGGGGTGTGTATATATGTAAGGATGAAATGAAAGCATAGGTTATATGCATGAAAATCAGACATAGGTATTGTACATCTCACATTTCCTCCCCATAGCATTCCTTGTAAGAGGAATGGTAGATAGATAACTTTTGATAGAAACGTATAATTTTGAAAAGTTCATTCTCCTTCCTCCCAATATAGATAAAGGGTTCAAAATCATGGAATCGTTCCAAATCTCTTCCCAAGAAACATCTATGCAGCACAGCCGTCTTCTCTCTCCTTCCCTCCAGATGTGTTGTTCCTTAAGTACTAGCCAGCACAAATGAAATCCAATATATCTGGAGAGCACAAGGTTAGGAAAGACTAAGTTTAGTCTTGCCATATTAGCAGTGTCCCAGAATATCCATAAATCATTCTCTACCTTTAGATGAGCAAAACAAGCATAGAGATATGGCTAGGGCAGCAAATGACTATTCTCAGTGAAGCTTGTAGTAGCAGCAGATTGTATACAGATCAGCCTTCCCAAACCTGAAACATTCCAGAGGTGATAAACTTCAGTTCTCGTGAAGCCTGGCCAACACATCTGGATGTTAGCAGATTTGAGAAGGCTAACCAAAATCTTCTATAATCACTTTAAAAAAAATAAATAATTGAATACTAAACAAATGCCAAACTTCAATAAACTAGATCTGTAATGTCTTCCAAATGTTCAGAGCCCAACTTTCCATGAATGCCCTTCAAATAAATTTATTTTGTACTCTTTGCTATTTTAATGAACATGGCCGAAAATACTATAATATTCTAGAGAGAAACAGTGATGTAGGTAGAAGGATGCAGACCATGGATTATTACTCCACAACTTCTACTTTGTGTATGTTGTTTCTTACTGTCAGTGTTAGGGAGACTCTGGGTGAATTGGTTCTATCAAATAACTATTGATGGCTAAGGGGACACCCATACAAGATGGTGACAGCGATAGCTCTTTAATGACCCCCTGATTTTCCATTCCTTTTAGTTCTTTTTTCCACTTTTAATAGCAATAGCACTTAATATTGCTTCATAGTGCTTCACAGCCCTCTCTAAGCGGTTTACAGAGTCAGCCTATTGCCCCGAACAATCTGGAGTCCTCATTTTACTAACCTCAGAAGGATGGAAGGCTGAGCCAACCTTGAGCCAGTCAGGATTAAACTCCTGTCAGTCGGCAGAATTAGCCTGCAATGCTGCATTCTAACCATTGTGCCAACAAAGCTCTTACTTTAATTAAGTAATTTTAATATTTTCCTTAGTTTTATTCAAATCCTCACCTCCATTTTATTTTTATTTTATTTTTTTAGCAATTAGAATTAATATTTAAATTAATTTTTTTTAGTAATTAAAAACAAGATGTTCTGGTATCCTGGAGTATTGAGACACCAATCCAGAATACAAAATTGTAAAGCAGGAACAAAAAAAGAACCTGAAAAGAAAGATGAAAGGGAAGTACAAGCTAGAAATTCAGCAAAGACAAAATCCCAAACAATATAAGACTGAGATGGCCTCTGGGCAACCAAAGATAAAAAGACTTATTCCAGCTTAAATAAATTGCATATAAGTCTCCCTTCCTTCTTCCTCTCTTCTTTTAACTTCCCTTTATCATTCTTATTCCTCATTAGACTGGGAAGTGAATGACTGCCCTTCCTCTGAAGTTGAAGTTCTAATACAGTGATGGCGAACCTTTTAGAGACCGAGTGCCCAAACTGCAACCCAAAACCCACTTATTTATCGCTGTGTGCCAGGTGGGCATGGCTGTGGGGTCATGGCAGATTGGGTGTGGCCAAGGTGGGTGTGATCACCTCGATGTTGCTCATGGGGAGGGACGCCTGTGGGTGCCGGGCAGGTTGGAGGAGATCTAGCGGGTCTCTGGCAGGTGGGGTGGTGGGCAGTAGGCTCATCCTGCAGGGTGAGGCGAGGCAAGGCGAGGCAGGGCGGGGATGCCATTGTTACAGGGCAAGGTGAGGCAGGGGCGGGGGTGGCACCATCAGCCCCTGCACACAGAGGCCAGCGAGCGCATGGGTGCTGGGATGCATCCGGCCATGTGGGACCTCGGTGAGTTAGCAGGTGGATGGTTGAAAAGGGACGGTTGCCATCTCCAGGCCATGGTGCGCATGTCTACAGAGAGGGCTCTGAGTGCCGCCTCTGGTACGCGTGCCATAGGTTTGCCACCACTGTTCTAAGAGGAGATTTTATTTTTATTTATCTAATTTTTAAGACCTGTCTACTTCACAGGTACCAGATAGAAGGGAGGCCGCTGCTTATACTAGGAGTAATTTAAATGGAAAGCTAGATTTGGTTGCTAAGAACTGGCCTTTAGCAGTTCAAATTGTCATTGCTACACGTGATCAGCCAATAAAAATATAGATGAACTAAACACTTGGAAAATATATTTCCAAACCAGCTATGGAACCAAATAGCAACTCATACGTTTCAAAACCTACCTCTAACCCAGGGCTTTTCAACCTTTTCAAGTCATTGTACCACTTTTAGGGTATGGCAACATCCGAGTACCATCAGTCGCTTAGCAAGTTGTCAAAAACTTGATGACCCCCCCCCAAAAAGGAAAAAAGTGATAAAGTACAGGTAGTCCTCAACTTACAACAGTTTGCTTAGTGACTATTCGAAGTTACAACGTCACTGAAAAAAGTGCCCCCCAAGCCACAGCCGAGCAAGACACCTGCCTGCCCGCCCGGCCGCGCTCTTCCTCCTGTCTGAGGTTTTCATTGTTGTGAGCATTTCTGTTGAAGATTGGCAGCAGGGGTAGGGTGGGGGGGTGTTTGGTTTTTATTCCTCCCATCTTCTGGGTGGTTGCAGCAGGTTTTGGTCACTCCACATGACCGTGGGACACTGTGACCGTCATAAATATGAATCAGTTGTCAAACATCTGAAAGTAAATCACAAGACCCTGGAGATGCTGCAACATTCCAGCTGATTGGTGCTTCTTCTGGGCTCAGCAGAAGCGCCAGGATCAGCGTCGAGCTCCAGCTGGAGCCTGGCACTGATCCTGGCGCTTCCGCTGGGCCCTGACAGCCCTGCAGCTCCAGCCATCTCTCGCTCAGGCTTGTGCGGTGCTGCCATCGGTTCAGCTCATTCCCCTCCCCCGCTACCACTTTTCTAGCATGGTCGTGTACCACCTGCCAAGTGCCAATGTACCACTGGTTGAAAAGCCCTGCTCTAACCCATAGACCAGTGTTTCTCAACCTTGACAATTTTAAGGCATGTGGACTTCAACTCCCAGAATTCCACAGCCAGCCATAGACTATAGAGATTTCTTTCCAGTTAAAGAAGC